AGCCACGCACACTGACTCGCTCACAAACACTGTCACCCTCTCACTCATACACGCACTTGCTCACACTTACACACACATAAACTCACACTTATACACACATACTGACACACTCTCACTCCCACACTCTCACACTCACTCACTTACTCACACACATGCACACACACTGACTCGCTCACACCTTTTTACTCACACACACACACTCGCTCACATTCACGCACACATACACTCTCACATACTCACTCACTGACACACACACACACACACTCCCACACACACACATCCATACACACACACATAGACACTCACTCCCACATGCACACTCTCACGCTCACACACATACACACTCACTCACACACACTCACTCACACATACATACACACTCACACACACACAGTCACACACACTCTCATGCTCAAACACACGCACACTCTCACGCTCACACACATACACACACTCACTCACTCACACACACACACACACACGCACGCACACTCTCATGCTCACACACATACACACACACACACACGCACACAAACTCTCACACACACACACTCACTCACTCACTCACACACTCACTCTCACACACACAGTCACACACACACACAGTCACTCTCACACACACACACTCACTCTCTCACACACACACACACATTCTCACGCTCACACACACACGCACACACTCACTCACGCTCTCACACACACTCTCACACACTGACTTGCTCACATTTTCCCACACACACTGTCTCACATGCAGAGGGTAGAGTGATGGCCTCATGGTACTATTGCTGGACTGTTAATCCTGTGACCCTGATAATGTTCTGGGGGCCTGGGTTCGAATCCTGCCCCAGCAGATGGTGGAGATTGAATTCAATAAAAATATCTGGAATTAAGAATCTAATAACAGTTGCCAATCATTGGGGGAAAAGCCCATCTGGTTCACTAATGTCCTTTCGGGAAGGAAACTGCCATCCTTAACTCGTCTGGCCTACATGTAACTCCAGACCCACAGCCCATGTGAGTGACTCTGGGCAATTAGGGATGGGCAATAAATGCCTGGTCAGTGACACTCATTAGGAATAAAAGAAACACTGTCTTGCACTCTCACTCAGACACACACCCCTCCGCCACTCTGAGGAAATGATTTTTCTCTCTGACACTGAGTTGTGGAGCTCTGCAGCACAGAAAGAGGCTCTTCAGCCCATCGACTCTGCACCAGCCACCTCACTGTTCTACACTGAATGTAAAGCTTCCTCTACTCCTTTAAACTGAAAGTAAGGCTCCTGTAGTGAATTCATCACTGCAGAGGGCTGTCGAGGCTGGGTCATTGACTATATCCAAGGCTGAGAGAGACAGATTGTGAACCTTTTCTGAAGAAGAGTCACTGGACTATTTCTCTCTCTGTCTCTCTCTCTCTCTCTCCACAGATGCTCCCAGACCTGCTGATCTTCTCCAGCAACTGCTGTTTAGTGTTTCTGGGAATCACGGGTAAAAAGGCAGGAGAACGGTGATCCCCTTCAGTGGCGGAGCAGACTTGATGGGCCGAACGACCTCTTTCTTGTCCTATCCCTTTCCGAACGGATGTAATCCCACCTCCGCCCCCCTCCCCACCCCCGTCCAAGGAGTCAGGATTGTGGGTTGGGAGGGCTGTGAGGGTGTGGGGACTGGGGTGGGTGGGGTGGTTGGCTGGTGGGAGTGGGGTGTTCTGATTCTTACCTGGGAGGCCTCCCAGGAACAGCACAGGCTGATGACTGACCCACGATGTCCTCAACGCTGCAAAGTCTCTGGCTTCGACTGGATGGCTGGCCACCTGGTCCCCGATCTGTAACCTCACCTCCGTCTCCGAAACACTCAGAGTCAACCTCTGCCCATCGCACAGTCTCGCTGGGCCAGCCATGTTAATAATTGTGGAGTCTCCCAGGTCCAGGCGGAAATGCTGAGGAACGTCGGGAGGTTTTGGGGGTTGTGGGGGTGGGGGGCGGGAGAGGCGGGGAGTGTTAAGCGTTAGACGCGTTTGCTAGAGTTGGCTCCAATCTGGCCGACCGCGCTCATCACGAAAGCACGCCCCTCTCTTTGTCAACTGGACATTGGCTCTGCCCATATCAATTCACACTACACCTTCAGAAAAGGAGTACAATGTAGAATGATACCTGGGCTTCAGGGGGTTACGTAACGAGGAGAGATTATACACAAGGCCTGTTTTCCCTGCACTTTAGAAGATTAAGGGGTGACCTGATCGAAGTCTTCAAGATATTAACAGGAGTAGACAAGAGTTTATAAAGATAAACTGTTCCCACTGGTTGGGGATTCTAGAACCAGGGGGATAGTCTGAGAATTAGGGCCAGACCGCTCTGGAGAGATGTTAGGAGACACTCTGACACACGTAGAGGTCCAGGACTCTCTTCCACAAACAGCAGTAGATAATGGATCCGTTTTTTAACGTTAAACCTAAGATAGATCATTTTTGTTCAGCAAAGAGTTCAGCTACAGATTTTCAGACTCTCTACACCAACCCTCCAAAGACCATTCCACCCAGACCTAACCCCCTGTAACCCCACATTTCCCACGGCCAATCCACCCTAACCCGCACATCCCTGGGCACTACGGGACAATTTAGCACGGCCAACCCACCCTAACCCGCACATCCCTGGGCACTATGGGACAATTTAGCACGGCCAATCCACCCTAACCTGC